CCCCAAAACCCCAAAACCCCAAAACCCCATATGAAGTCTACATCACTGAATTAAATAATACATTTTAAAGAAAATATTATGGGGAATGAATACAGTTGTTGCAACAACAAAAGGCAATCTCCACAACCTATAGACTTAGAATCTTGCATTAGCAATCAAAATCAAGGTAAGTTCTAAATAATATCTCTCCAAAACAACTCTTTACTCCATTACCATCATTCTTTCTTGTATAAATCTCCTGCTTTCATACCAAACCTACCAAGATGAGCCAATAAACCTCTCTTATCCCTCACAACACCTCCCCAAACTTCCAGACAAATACTATATTTGAATACTCTAGCATTGAAGCAGAAGAAAACTTGAAGAAACGAAGCATGATAGGATCTAGCTAGTTAAATAACAACATAAAATTGCTGTCTCTTCATAAATTTTATGGGCTTTAGAAAGAATGTTTCTCTAAAGGCTTAGAAGTGTATAGATTAATCCTTTAACTTGATATTTCATGGTTAAAGTGCCTTCTGATGTTCATAAAAAAATACACATATTTTCAAAGTTGATCAATCCTCTTGATAGATTATGTGAAAATTTAGAGACATGAAAATAAAGATTTACTTGAATAAAGGGTGCTTTGATTTCTTCAGAAGGCGTATTAATTAAAATTAGGAAATAGTCAGATTTATGTACTTTCACATAAATAACAGAAATAAGTTTAGGCAAAACTCATCTCACTCTTCTGGGATTTAGTATATATCATCAATAATCTGGACTACTAATCTCCTATTATTAAGAATTGATAGCAACAAAACATAGCTAGAGAGTATAGGCGGCTTTTAATTAAAACTAATTTAAAATTTTCCTGAGTCTAAATGCCAAGATATTGAAAGTTCTAGAAATTTATTCAATTTTCACTGATTTATTTTAAATAGTTGGCCTAGTGTCTTGTTTGAAGTAAAAATTGATATAAGCAACTTTTAGTCGACATTTTTATTAGGTTTATTGTGTATTCCAGTACTTAAAATAAGTTTAATTTAAGAATTAACTTTTTCTTTCTCGTGCATAAAATAAAAAATATTACTTTCTACTTCTCTAATAATTTTTCTCTCCATTTTCAATAGAATTTGCAATTTAGGGCATCTTTCTCTACCTTCAGGTAACATTCATCATTAAATTTCCCCCTCATCGACTCATTCTGATCGGTAAATTCAAATTCGATCTCCAGTCCTTCCATCCTATCCTTGCTTAAAAATTTGGGGTTCACCAACATGTTTTGTGAGATATTAGGAGTTTTGGTGCTATATCTCAGCCAATATTTATCTATGTCAATTGGAGTTAGGTCTCCAGTCTTCTCTACCCTTTTATTAAGCATCAGCCAAATCTTAATTTCCCCATTTTCTTGAGAGATTTTATGGTAGGAAGGTATGTTAGAATTTATTCAAATGCTATTATTAATATCAATTTTTGGATTGCTCTTTGCTAATTTGGTCATTCTAAATTTTTACTAACTTCAGAAGAGCTCTTATTAGCAAAGGATTAGCTTGCAATCAAGTATTAAGAGATGTAAGAATCTCTACATTTAAAACTTGATATTAATAATTAACCCACTTTCTTTTTAATGGATGGGATAAGTAAGAAAAAATGAAATGCTATAAATATCTCTACTTTCTGAAGCCAAAGGTAGCATTTTATAATTCATTCGGGACAGAAAACGCACCAAAGGGCTAGCTTTAAAGCTAGGTTTATCAGGACTTATTACCTAAGATTTCCAAGTGTTTACATACTCTCAGGTTCTCTTTCTTCTTCATTAAAATTTCTGTCAAAAATATCTTTTATTTTCAAAAGTTCTGTTTGTTTCTAAACCTCCCTTTTAGAAGAAACATCGAAAAATCAAAAGTGGACAAACAACAGAAGCTCTGCTCAAGAGATCAAAGTACTAATCCTCATAACTGTATAGAAAACTAAAAATGAGGGCAATCCAAAACTAAGCCAGTCTCATTATAATGCTCAGGTAAGCCATTTTATAATTATTCTTTAGAGTAATCTAAAAAGGAAGAAGCTTGGAAATTTTAACTCAAAGGTCTCGCAAAAAAGGAATTGATATGAAGAAAGCAAAAAACAGAAAAAGCATAACTACACTGCTGAGAAACAAAGTACTTTATTTGATCTGACATTTAGTCTCAAAGAAAGATATGATGAGTAAGAAAACAGGAAAGAACTCTTTCTGAACCTTTGCTAAAGAAGAAACATCTAATATGGAATCAAGGACAAATAATGATTTTTACAGTAAATACAAGTTACAAATTTCTCTTTTTATTTCTATTTTCTAGCCAAGAATAATATAAACTTTAACCTCTAGAGTCTTGCAATACTCTAAATTTTTCGAGGCAAACAAGTATAATGAGCACAGACATCATTTATGAAGAAATGATAGATGAATCTAAGAAAATGAGAAAGAGGTACACCTACAAGAAGTTTTCTTCTGGTGCCAAACATGCATCTACAATGTACACTAAGATAGACAGAAAGAAAGCTGTTTGTTGCAACAATGCCATTTCCAAGAGCTTTAAGTTGCTTTAAGTTAGTTCAAATATCTAATTCATATCCTAACGTCCTGGAGTTAAAATTAAGGTTTCCAATCTAAATACTAATTCTTTGTGTTTTTGTGAGAATTTACTATTCCAAAATTTTAAGGATAGAAAACATTATGTACATTTTGGTGAGATTTGAACTATAGATATTTTAAAGCATTAATAATTTAATGTAGTTCACTAAATTCAATAGGGGGATAGTACTCTGGGGTTTTGGGGTTTTGGGGTTTTGGGGTTTTGGGG